GCATCCAAGTGTGGAATTCCAATCCTGTTGCTTCGACTCCCCTCCTTGAGAATGATAATCTTCTCCACTATTGTGGAATTTTTACTCATAAGGCGTTCTCTCCTCCTCTCGTCGAAACCATTCTTCAAATTCGTGTCGACCCTAAGCTTGCTGAAGTAAATGCGACAGCTCGAGCAGGTGCTCGAATCATCATCGTGCCTTAGGTTTGTTTAATATCGTTGATCGACTTCTAACCACCTCTATCATTCTTGCAGAGGGATTTTTGCATAAGCCTGATTTGAAGAAGACTGGTGATAGGAGGTCTGCTCACACTTCTGCCAACGTCGAGAAGACCAAAGGCCCCTCCTCGACCAAAGATGGCCCCTCTCGATCAGAGAAGCCTGGTGCTGGTGCCTCCTCCCATTCGAGCAGGCAACGAGCTCCTTCTCCTCCTCCTAAGCAAGTCGAGCGTCACTCCTCCCACTCGACAAGAGAGAGTGACGCCTCCAAAAAACGTCCTCGGACTGAAGGGACTGGTCCCCCCTCCACAAATCCGCTTCCTTCCCCCAAGCGACCACAACCTGAAGCTGCTTCTTCCGGGAATCCTCCTCCTTCATATTCTTCGTTGTCGCTTGTGTCGGCTGGTAAATATTGGACCAAAATAATACACAGTAAATAAACTTATTCATTTATTAATACTTTCCTTTGTTATGGTAGCAAAAGAAGGTACCGAAATCTCGACAAATGAATAAACTTGATCCACCGTAATTGTTGACTTTTTTAATTTAAATTTTAAATAATAACCACCTTTTTTCAAAAAAAAATAAAATTAAATTAAATTAAATTACTAAAAAAGGTAAAAATGAATTGTTTAGGCGGAAAATTAGTTACTTTTTCAGGTAAATATCACCTTTTTATATTATGTAGATGAGTGGAGCAATTGAGACTTCTAATTTTTTTATTTTAAACCGCTAAGCTCAAATGTTGCAAAAAGCTGCGTCTTTCATTTTAGTGGATTGAGCCAAAAACGCTAGTTACAACAGCTCTTTACCAAATGTTGCTGTTAGCTGATTGTGTATGGTCAAACATCTAAATAGCTGAAAAGCTTTTTTAAAGCAAATACGACATTAAACAAACACTGCCAAAACAAGACAAACTAGACTAACACACAAAAACAATAAAAACACACACCTAATGTACAAATAAACTAAGCTCTCCTACACTTTACAGACCCTAACGTCCGGCCACCCGAGACCGCATGTGAGCCACTCCCAACAGCATGGAGATCCAACAAAGCCACAAACCAAAACCTCAAGCCCGTAAATTGTACCCACTCGTGTCGCCTAGACGGATCTGATGAAGAGTATGCTCCGCCCACCACAGTCCAATCTCTGCCATCACCACTGGTCGGAGAAAAAAATGATGGTCCTCCTCAGACCCACCACCGGAGGAAAGGGGAAGAAGCCGAGAACTCAGCGAAGATCCGAACACCCACACCTCGTCGTCACTCCCCAAAAAGCCGAGAAAAGCCCGCGGGCCGGCAACTGAAAACCGGCCCGAACTAGAGAGAAGAAGAAGGCTTACCTGAAACTGCCGACGATGGAGGCGCGTGAACCTAAGCGGAGACCAGGCGGCCGGGGGACGACCCTTGACTCGAGCTCAATTACTGCAGAGGAAGGAGATCGATGCTGGAGTGGAGAGGGACGAGCGGGTAGGGTTTGGGGGAAAGGGATCTCGAGAGAGAAAAGGAATACATTAATATGTTACTTCTTGAAAGTAAAAAATACACGTTAAAATTCATTTTTTTTTTACTTAGATACATATCTTAAATTTGAGTAAATAATATTCAAATAAAACTTAATAATTTTTTAAATAAAAAATCCTCAATCATGATATCTTAGAAAACAAAATAACTACGATAAATTGAAATTCATTTTAAAATGGATTGATTGCAGTTGAATCCTCTAATGACTGTTACTAACATTATTTAATTGTGCGTCACAAAATAGCATTTTGTATATTTAAACGAGAAGAAAAATTTTAAAAAATGAATGAAAAAAAAATAAAAGTATGTAAAAACATATTAATTTTACTTGGCATGTTTTTATTGTTAAAGGACCTCAGTTGTAGGTCGATTACTGAGGCACATATGTAGGAAAAACAGGAAAAAAAAATCATCAAAAAAAGGAAATAGTACAAAGCTGAATTTACAAAAGGATTACATATAAACAAAGGGGGTATTAGGAGCCTTGGTAGACTCGAGGATTCGCTCAGAGGTCAGAGTCAGCTCAGGAGTGTTCGAAGAAGAAGGCGACTCAGTAGTCCGGTCCAAGGAGCCAGCATTGACCCCTGCAGATGCAGGGGCCTCCTGCGGCAACCGATAGACGGAGGATAAGAATGGCACCCGACAGGGGAAGGTCGAAGTGTGTCTAGTGTCTTGGACCTAGAAAGGATTCCTGCCAAGTTTTCCGACCACTAGGCGTGGTCTGGAGAAAGGGTGCCCTCGAGCCCACTGGGAACACTATTAAGAGCCTCCATATAGCATCGCGGTCGAGTGAGCCGTTGAAGTTTGGGGCGCGAATCTGTTTCTCGGCCTCGTCTAGGCCAACTTTATAGGAATCCATGTCAAGGGTTGAAGATCTCTCAAGGAAAGTCGTCGACTTGAGGAAGTCCTCGATGACCTGCTCACGGTATTCTTTTAAGAAACTTTGGCGGATGCTAATTGACCAGAGCAGTTATCGAGCTCGCCCCGTAGCGGCAATACCTGCCCTCTCCACATCTTTCTTTCACCAAGCGACCTCTCGCTCAATCTCAGCATCTTTGTCTTTAAGCTCGTCTAGGCAGCGAAGTCCATTTCAACTGATGC